GAGTAGGGACTGTGCCAATGCCATATCTTCCTCTACCCGTGATCACGGAGATGTTAAAAGGCCCCTCACTGGGTGGGCAGGCCTTCCACTCCATATCCAATAAAGAAAGGAAAAAGAAAAAACAGAAAAGAAAATCAATCAATTACGGTACATTAATAAAGCAAACAAACTTAGACCAAAAAAAAAAACATACATACAATATGTACTATAAACATAAAATACAAGAAAAGAACAATTAAAATGCCAAATTGTAAACCACATGTGTATAAACTTAAAATAAATTTTTGAAAAACCACGTGCTAAAACCCCACATATAGTCTTGGTCCTCCCTCCTCCTCCGTGCAACCTTGACCATTCAACAATGTCAATTTCGATGTTGTTTTAGATGTAAGAGCTGATGCTAAAGATGGAGTAATAATATTACTCGTGGAGGTAAACAGAGAGGTCTTAGTCATGAGCTGGAAGGTAAGCCAAGTTGTTTCAGTCGCTGGCCCTTCCCGCCCCGTATGCTGGGGCAGAGCGTCTTTGCAGATGGTCCGAAAGAGAGGGAGTGAGCGAGCCAGTTCTAAGGAGGGTCCTGTCCCTTGGAGATCCAACATTGTGACTAACCAGCCAGGGAACGGGAAAAACAAGTCACTCTTACTCTCTCACACAGTCGCCCTGAGTTCCTCCCTACAGCCTTGCACACCAGCGTGCCAAAAAGTTAAAGGTCTTCACCACAACCAGGCACAAAAGGTCCAACCTCCCCGGCTGCAGACATTGGTTTCGGGCATGCTAGCTGAGCTGACTTCTGGGAGGAGGGGGGAGGGAGCACAAGCCTCGAGCCTCGGACCCTTTCCTTCCAAAGAACTCATCCGGAGACCAGCTGGGGGGGGAAGGAAGGGACGTGAAGCACTAGCTTCTAGGTTCTTTTCCCCCCGGTGGTCTTTCTCTCTGGTTCTTCCCTCTGGTTCTTTTCCCCTCCAATAATCTTCTCCAAGTCCAGCAAGGTCCTGGAGAGGCGCGAGTCACCAGCCTCTGGTCCTTTCCCCTTCTATGGTCTCTTCGAGGGTTGGTGGGTCGATCCCGCTCCCATCCAACTCTCCTATAACTCCCGAACGCTCACCAGCCTCCTTGAACAGCGAGGCAGTACTCCCAGCCTCGAGCTCCCAGCCTCCAGCGAGATAGGGCTCCCAGCTTCTGAGCTCCCGGACAAGCCAACTGCAACAAGCCTGCTGCGAACTCTGCGGCTCCGCGGCTCCGTGTTTCGAGCCGACGGCAACCTCGCATTTCAATCTGCAGCGGCTCCACGCTCAGAAGTTAATAATAACTTCTGGTTATTGTCTTGATGGCACATGCTCCTTTTAATAATA